ATACCGAAAAGCAGGCCGATCCCCTCAAGGGATGCGCGAGATCCAACCTTCAAAACTAAATTCCTTGAAAAAAACCACTGTGGCGTGTGTTCGAATGCGAGCATTTGAAAACCGAAATTCTCGCCAAAATCAAGCGCAAATTTTCCAAAATAAGTGGTCGAAGGGACCGGACGAGCAATATTGCCGAACAGCTACTTTACTGTTCTGTCCTCACTTTCTTAGTGTTCTCCGTGTTCATTAGTTTGTCTCTTTCGCCAAACACATTGAAGAAAAAAACTGAGAGAAGATGCAACAGACAGTAAAAAGTTACGGTAGTAAAGCCGAATAACCAAAGTGGGCTTATTAAGGGCGGTATTCTGCGATTGAACTGAGTAAAGGATTGGCTGGAACGGCGTGAGAAAAAACTGGAGGAAAACCCTGATCGACGAGACCGTTAACAACCCTGTCCAATTAGCAGTGAGGAGGCCGGCTTGGGAAAAGACGGCTAGTACAAACAAGTTTTCTGGATATGTCAGTCGTTATATCGTTGCATACAGCATCACCTACGTGATTCCACACGTTTATGCAGCCAGCACTATTCGAGGTGGCGGTGCCGGCAATTGACGAGGCATCCGATTGAAACGCCGGCCGGGGCTTAACGGACGTGTTTTAAGTGGAAGTTGCTGCAATGTGTGGCGTACCCACTTAAACTCAGGCCGGAATTACTCCTCATAGCGCGAACTGACGCCCGACCTTGTCTTTTATGAGCTGGCGCAGCATGCACACATTGGATGTTTTTTAGTGTTGTCTGTCGTGTCTCATGTGTCTACTCATTTTCCGTCAGACAGGTCCGAATCACTAATATACGCCAAACTGACTCTTAAGAAATTAACTTATTATGAAAGGTTGCGTTCACTAGACCATTGGGGATGAGAATCGGATGCTTTTTGCTTTTCCTATACGCTCGCGTCTCGCAATCGAAACGCGAAGAAAAGCGTGAAAGCTCTTTTGGATCTACATGCTGCGGATTCTTGACAAATGCTTTACAACCACAACGGGGCTCAATTTCGGCGGTTGGATCATGTAAATCTCCCACTTTTGTGAGACTTTGCCTTTTTTCGGTAGTCGAAGCGCGCTGCTACTTTCATCATAACTAAAAAGAGGAACTGCGGATACCTGACTTTCACGCCTAATGACAGATGAATGTTCACAGAAACATGGGGTGGAGTTATAGTTTTGCAAAGCAGTGTATAGACGTACATCCATAAAAGCCTCTCAGGCGTTTTCTAATTTAAAGGTCGAAAGGACACGTGTGTTAGCTCATGACCTATAAATTTCCGCTCCCCTATCGCACCTTCAAATGTTGAATGAAATAAGACCTCCGTGTCATCGACATTCTTTAGTGTCTTCTATTTGATCACATGGTTCCAAAACAGATGTGCGTTTTTCGGCGTTCCGCCTCATCCGTCGCTGCAGTACTCAGAACATGGACCTTTGTCAGGGAACCACGCAAAGCCTTTGTTGGAGAGCCCCTGGTCGAGAGGGACTAGCGGTGTTTTCATTAAAGCCACGCACGAGCCTGTGAGTGCACCTCACGACCTAAGTATTTCGATGCACAGTCATGATGGGGTTTCGGCCCTGTAAGCGTTGAGTTATGCAAGAATTCCCTCCAAAATTGACCCTTTGCAGTTGCCACACGAGTCCCGTTTATAAATCCTACTCCACGTACGTAATGGTTGACAAAGCCGTACTGCCACTACCGCATGTAGAAGTACAGAAGTATGACATCAACCACAGCTTGGAGGGAGGGTCGCGAAATAGGTCAATACATGAACAATTCCTCCACAGGTCATGTTTTCGGCCCTTTTGTTTGAAGCGCTTGAGAACCAAACATCTCCTTCGCAACAGTAGGAAGCCGCCAGCTTCACGCAGGGCAGCCACGGGCGGTACGCAGGGGGCTTTTACCAATTCATAGTCTCCAAAGCAAAAGTATTTTGTCCGCTATGATATGCATGATGATACGCGAAGAGTCCGGAAGAACGAACGTGTGTCCGTATATTAACGCTTGTGTTTCAGTGGAATGATCATGATATGCCCCCCCGACAACAAGGCTTTCTTCTCCACCTTTTGCTTCAGGCTAATTTGTTTCTTTCAGAAGGTACTTCATCGCGTAACGACTAGTCAAAGCATATTCAGCTCGATACGGATGCGAGAGCAGGCTATCATTATATGGAAATGTCTAAGTGGAATGTTCCCCAAGATGGACTCGCTATATGCGAGCTCATTTGAAAGAGTTCGCCCTTGCACTGATCGTTGAATATGTCCGTTCGGATTCATTTCATCAAAGTCGTGGTTTGAAATTCCTATATTTCTTTTCCCTTTTGTTTCGCTATAAGTCTCTGACACCAGAAAAACTCTTTATACCTTGTACGTTAATAATTGTTTTTTGTTGAATGAAACATGAACCATGGATCTCTTGAGATTTATCTGGACAAGACTTGCGATATCAGACGGAATGCGGCTTTATTTCGTTACTCTTACATAAGTTGCTTTCATAAGTTGCTCTACTACAGCTTCGTGAATTAAGCTTTTTATCAAGCTTTATCTTGTGTCGACTTTATTATCTGCAGAAATTTCATGAGATCTAGAGCCTTATGGTTAGTCAGAAAGATGACACATTTGACAGCGTTTAGTAGATTGCGATAGAATAGTAGCAAATTTCAAGAGACCCATTATGTTGCCTCGAATAATAAAGCGTAACAAATTTTGTGATCTTCATTACGGCACGCGACCTTCTCGGACAAATTCCATTGTACGATTACGCCTGGAATAATATTAAGCCACTTTTTCTTCTGCACTCTGTAGCGGCTTACACGCCCACATCCCAACTGTGACTCGTTGAATAGCCAGTCAGGTCCTTCACATGCCGTCTTTGCGGAGGAAATGACTGTGCATAGGAACCGTGTTACTGAGAAGGGCTTTATTGCCGCATCAGCGGAGCAAGCTATGCATTACGGATAACGCCGGTATTTTATGACAAACTTCAGCACTCCAAACGTTTTTACTAATCATTCAATACATACTACACAAGCAGTTGCATCACTAAATGATTATTATGTGACATAGAGGTGAGCGAGAACTAGCTATGGGTGCAGCTTCAGAGGGGTTACGACGAGGTTCAGTGGACGACCGCTCACATCATCTCAATACGTCTCAAAAATGTTCCGTTATGTAGCGGTATGCGCCATCTTTTATTATAATCGGCGCTTCCGAATAGCCTTCAACGCCCCACATATCCTCAGCGCTCACATCCCTTATTCCAAACGAAATGTTAATGGTGAATTTGATTACACATGATTTACAGCATTAAGGATGCGATCAAGATGGTTCATGTGGACGGCGAACTCCATGTTATCACCGATTAAAGTCAAATAATAGTGGTTGTAGCGTAGCCCGTGTAAGATACGACATGAGTAGATAGGAAGTTTACGGCTGTGGGGAATAAGGTGTACTCACAGCTGAAAACGAACGTGCATTAAATCATATCCTATCTAGTACATTGCCCACTGTATCCCCTCCACGGTGATAGGAGGTACGGAATTGGAAGTGTGTTCGGCGCGTACGTCTCAGTGGTAGACCACTACTCAATCTTACTATTCAGTTCACTTGTCCTCGCCGTAAGAATTCGTAGACACTTCCTGTGAGTTTTATAAGAATCGTATAAGTGAGAGATAGCTCCACAATAATGTGATATATAGCAGGCGATAAATTATGAATAACCAAACTGTTTCAATTAACAAATTGAGACGAATATTTTCGTCATGAAACGAAAAGCCGGTCGCATTAATTTGTTTGACCAAAGGGTTTGGTTATTCATTTGCGAGCCTCGCAGAAAAACGTTAATTCATCCGCTAGCATGTATTTTATAGGGCAAATATGCAATCAATAGCGATGGAAAAATAAGAAGAAAACGTGAATTGCCATCTCTTCTTTTCGCTCAGTGGTTTCTCTGTATCCATCTTTTTGATGTAGTCACATGACTGCCTAAATATCGACATAATTTCGGATGCAGGGCGAATCGCTGTACCTAGCTTAAGTCCCAAGATGGAGCCTAATGCAAAAACTCGTAGCTGTCCTTCGGCTTCAATGTGCAGTGATGGTGTCTCTTTTCGCTATGAATTTCGATTAGTAAGGCACATATATTACATTGCGCACGTTACTCACACATTTACAATTATTTCCAGGTTCCTAATTGACAGAACATTGTCAAAGGAAAGGAAAAGCCAATCGAGTCCCCTATTCATGCACTTCAGACCACGTGCGGAATGTCGTTATGCTGTGCGTTCACTGATGGATTATTGGACTATATTGTACTTTGCATTCCTTATTCGGTGCATAAAGTACTTGTAGATCTCGATGCTGCCACTGGAACTTGAAGTGCCAAAGTTATGGCTTGCTAGGGGCACTCTTGAAAAATTGCAAATATCTTTCAGTGTCTCTTTTAACATTGTAGTGCAATTGCAGAAATGTAATCCATCCAAAACTAATAGCGTTACAGCAAAACATTCTTCGGGACACTTCGGCTTCTGGAGAGCGACGGATATGATATACAAAATATTTGTGATCCACTTTCCACCCAAACCTTGACATCTGTTTTGCCGTATCAGGAAGATAGCCGAGTAATGGAATGATGTCGAGCTGGTTCCACGCATACGATCAGAGCAGTGTGATGATAACGGCCTTCCGGACAGTGGACAGATTTTTGAAAAGGATCGCTGGGTGCCGTGGCTAAAAAAGACTAGAGTTTACTTTGGATGTGAGAGAGGCATGGCTCCGAATAACTTTGTATTACCGAAAATAGCATATACAGGGCCATTGCACATACAGGGCTAGAGAATAGCTGAAATCTCACCTTTCCACGGTAAAACGATTTCTCAGTACGTAGTATTGGTTCCACCGTAACCCACGTTGGCGCTGGGGCACACATTGCCACAAGTTATCTACTTGTTTCACCTATCGATATGCCGTACATTGCCGTTCTCCCTGAACATTTTATGACGAGAAAATGGGCAACAAAGGTAGGTAGTGAGCACCTTTGCTGTAGAAGGTGTAATATGGTGACAATGCAAGTGCAAGGAGGAGTGGTCACAGTAATCCACTGCATTACGCTCGAAGCTAGTACGGGAAACACTGCATGAATTCTATGGGGCTAGCCTCATGGTGATCGTGGAGTGAACTGCATTTGGTCGGGCGTCCATTTAGACGACACTTGTACCTGATCCTATTCAGTTGCTCCCCAAATGCCTAACAACACTCTCCAATGGTTGGTTGTTTGTGGAAAGTGGTTTATTGCGGAACCAGACGACCGTGCCTGAAAACAAAACGTGCCTGAAAGCCACTCTCGTCTTTTGGACAGCTCTGCCTCACGGCACAGTAATCCACCCTACAACGAATCGTGGAATACAATGGTAAAATCTACCTCCATATCCACGAATATCTCAGAATCAAGTTCGAGGTAACTGTTGGTTGATCAACTTTTCAGTTGATAACACTTCTCATCGGCATCCATAGGACTGTTCGCTACCGGCGCGAGTTAGAAGATTTCCTCACTCTCACGTCTTCTCTACATGTCCAAGTAAGATTGTCGGAATCGTACTTAAAAATCGTGATGTTGTACCCCAGCTTGCGATGCACGCCTCTTCCGTCAGTATTCAGTATTTTCGAATCAGATAAGAAACAAGCAAGTACCAGAAACTTCGCACCTGCACGAAATAGAAATAGAAAAATTGTTATCACAATATGTTTGAGGAAGTTTTTCGAGATTTCATGACCTCACCTACTAATCTAGAACTCGGTTGAGGTTGGGAGCAGAATGGTTTTTCTGCTTTTAGACTTGTCGGCGTAGTTCCGCTACAAGTATCTGAACTGCGGAAACTGTCTCAAATGAAGGACAATAGATTGAGCCAAAATCAGGGAAGAGAAATACCCGCCGCCTAATTTTTGTCAAGTGCCGAAAATGTGAGACAGACTTTCCGTAGCAAAAGATCGTCGTTTTTGCTGTGATATTTTGACCAAGGAATGGTCTAAGTGATCTGAAAATAAGGAAAAATGGATAGCCTAGCTCAAAAACATGCGGAATCCCAATGGCTAAGGAACTCCTACCTTTTTGTTCAGCGCTGCCTTCACTGTCTTTTGAGGTTCAGTTGGCGGTGAGTCTCACGTTGCCATAGCAGATACCTGGGACATTGTGACCTGGGGGGTCGCTAAACCTCCAGTCCGATTTAGAAGTTTTGCAGGTTTCAATTCTCCAAAAAAGCCATCAATAGCGCATTTTCGAAAAGCTTATGATTCCGTCAATCATAATGTATCCTTTTTGATAGGTGTTAACAAATTAATGGTTGAACATGAAGAGTTAAGTGATGTTTGCAGCGAAATTCTATTTTTCGCTTTCCTTAAAAGGGCACATGGTGGAAGGCAGATCAGATTTTGCATAAGTTTAGTTTCTGCACGTGTCGCGGTATTTTTTCATGTTGACATTCTGAATCTCAAGAAAAGTCAACCGATTCAGCGGTGGAATTCATTTTCACCCCATTCGATTGTATTGCAAAATGAGAGAAAGGTATCCTTGAGGTTGAATGGCATTGATGCTCACTATGCTACGTGTACTGATTCGATACGAATTGTTATCCTTCTCACTTCCCTTGCGCCAATCCTTACTAACGGGTCGTCCTTCGAATGGCTGCCCTTTCTTCAATTAGCGGGAAACGAGCACGTGCATCGAAAATTCTGATTGCACCAGTCATATACTGCTCGCTTAAACCACATGTGCTTTTTTGCTAACGTTCAGAACATTTATCAGGGAAATTATATGAATAGCCTCCTTCTAATTTTTATTATATTAATTATCAATTCTCAGTATTTCACAGTTTAACGTCGGTTTTATGAGTTAAGTGCTCGCCTGAGGCGTTTGCCGGCTGAACTTTTTGAAGCAGCTAGACAATTGGGCTGCGGACACTAATTAATCCGGCATCGCGATGGCATGGCCATCTCTTAGAGTTGGCGTGTCGAACCATAATAGTTTCTTCAGAAATGCTGTAATGGAGATTTATGACATGCTCTTCTGATGCTACAAAATGCTGCAGTTGGTCATGCGTAGAATCTCAACACTCATCCAAAATGCCCTTGTGGCATAATCAGTAGTATTACTTGAAGAAGTTGATTCAAATTAATGTAAACATCACTAAATAAAACTGGAGAAGTACTGAGATTGGAGATTTAGTATAAACAGGATAGGAAAGGAGGCTATCTAATTTCCTGGCTAATTGTTCGGACCGTTTAGAAAAGAAATGCTGGTGTAGCGAGCGTATTACGTGGGGCAATCAGATCGATGGCACGGTGGCTCGTTTAGCTAATGAAGAAAAGGTCAAGCCATCGAGGGACGACCGTAGGAGGATTGGGGCGACAAGCGGAAGTGGTAGCTAAAGGTAAGCCAATTTCGTTTCAGCGGAATCAGTACGTCGAGCATATGAGCATTCAATTTGCATGTCAACTTCGGATACTTTCCTTTCTTTCTTCCCTTTATTTAAAGGGAATTTCTTCACGGACCATGGACAGTGGGCGGGACCGGGAAGATTTCTGATAGAGAAGGGGCATGGTAGGGGACGATCCACGTGTCGAACGCAACGAACGTGAAACAGGAATTCACTTAAACCTCCCATGAACGTGTATAAGTTACCTCCATTGCACTTCGTCGCAGACATTCCGGTCCCGGCCCATGGTCCATTTGCCGTCCGTGAAAGATTTCCTTAAAGGCCAAAAGTCAGGCTGTGTTTGGGAATTATGGCGCCTGGAAATGGGATGTAGAGAGATTGGGAGGTTGGAACGACGAGTGAAGAAAAACACGAAGAAACCGTCGACAAGAGCCGAAATCGAACCCACTCCCCTTATACGCGTGAAGGATGGCCTTGCTCGGGGAGAGCCCGTTCAAAACGAGTTTTTCGGATATGCCATTCATTGGTTGATACGGCAAGCAACCTAGCTGATCTCACGTTAGGCCAAGCCACGACCAATCCGCGGTGGGCGGGACCAGCTGATGTAAGCGGAACATCGCTGAAAAGTAGTAAGGCTGAGAGATGCCTTGACACGGACGGCGCCAATCCTCGAGCAGTGTGTGGCTCACCCCTATGAGAAGCGCATTCCTGGAAATATTAGTGATGGAAAGGCCTTCTAGGGTTACCTATCTGAATGTGCTTTAAGTGGCCACTACGAAGCAAGTGTGTCCACAGGTAAATAATGTTTCCAAGAGGCACATCATGAAACCATAGTGATAGCGCATTCATCAAAATAATATAATTGAGTCGCCTCTCCTATAGTCAAGGAATCTTTAATTTAAAGGCGTTAGCATGCCAGACGGCAAGCGAAATGAAGGCTTTCGCTTCCTGTGGAAACAGAAGTGACACAATAGGAGGTGGCCTGTGGATCATAGAGGGAAGGCTGTTATCTGCGTCTTGAGTTAGAAGAGTGTACTACGAGCACCAAGCTGTCTCAGGTGGAGGTATGCAACATGCTGCGAACGGTCGGCCCTATCAGGATATGGCCCGACGCACGCACTTCAAGCCGCTGATGACACGCACAATGCGCGATGAGTGTGGAGGGATCTTATAGCCAGCAGGGTTCTAGATCCAAATATGAATGATTTGAGATGGGCTTTCAGTCGCTATTTGGAAATCGAGAGTACGTGAACATCCTTGATTAAGTGCTCTTCGAACTGTGCCATTGCCTATGATACTTCGATTCGAGATTTGGTGTTCCGGCCACGTGCGAGTGACCAATTGCGGTGGGCTTTTGGAGTATAGTTTGCATATAACTGCACACTGAACAGAGTATCATTTCATTGACGTTTCCATGATTTCCGTAGCTGTGATTTGCAGTGCCACTTCTCAAGAAATTTGATAATTTGTAAGCTGATAAACGTTCGTGTGTGAAAGATCAGTGCACTATTTTTCCATTTCTGATGAGAAAAGTTGCATTTATGGCCATATTGGTGTAATTTTTATGGCCATTCTGCCAGTTAATGTCATTTTTGACGGAATTACTTCTTCGTTCCGACTCTTTCAGTAAAGTTTATTTGTTACGGTAGATTTTCAAAAGTTGGGGCAAACTCTCACTGATGATCGAATTGGAACACATCAATTAGTTCTGTATTTTTTTTATCTTTCTTTATTCTTCTATAATAGCATCAAATCAGCACTACTGATGCGTATGCGTGCGAACGTTGCTCGCACACCTTGCCCGATTCCGGTGTTATGGGAGAACAAATGCGAGCGAGACAGACTGCGTGAAGATACTAGAAACAGGATCTGGATGTAGCTGGTGGAATGTGTTGTGATCAGGCTCGTGCAATGTCGTGATCAATGATAAGGATATGTATGGCACTGTATGATACCTGGCTGTACGTACCCATTCGAAAATCCTGAGATAGAGTCGCGTTTGACTTTCTTGCGGAGTGTTCAGCAGAAATGGCAATGCATTACCGACCCAACCTGGAGATTCGGTCCACAGCGAGCTGAATATCCGATGAATTACGAGTTCGAACACCAACAAAAAATTATCACGCATCATTAGCGCACTTCAAAACTCACATCTTTCACACTCGCTATATTTCGGTTGATGCTCGCTCAAAGGCAAGCTCCGGGACTAGGCGTGCTCGCCTGTTCCATGTCGAGGATAGTAGGACAAGCTTTGATGTCGTGCCCCTTGGCCCCTTGAACGTGCGCAATAAAGGCGAAAGGAGCTCGTCCGACCCGCAACTCACACCTTCGTCCGCAAGTCCCACCCTCCGCAGCCGGTTGCCACGTGACGCCGCTTGAAAAGCGCATTTTAGCCAGCGGTCCCATTGCGACCCAATGTTATTGGCACTGGAGCAGCTAGAGTTAGGTACGTCAAACTCTTCCAACTCGTCCCTTCTCTATTCCAAGGTGGAATGCGGCTGAAATAGAGGGGTCTCTGTGCGGGGCATAATCGGTGGTTTCGTTTGCTTTTCTTTCCTTTTCTTCCACACCTATTTTGTCCCGAATCTTGGACTTATGAACGCGTTCACCGCAATGCATTCGATGGCGCCATGCCAAACTACACTTTAACCATTTGTGCCGCTGCTGGTCACGCAGCTCGGCCAAATCAACAAGTGAACATATGGGTGGAGCGCTTTCGAAGTCCTGCTGACCCACCAGCGCATATTTCGTCGAGAAAGCGCTACAACTCGCTTCCTTTGCAAGCAAGTAACTGATTTGTGTGGTGCGCATGCCTCTCCGATGCACTCCATCTTTTTCGTAATCGCTTCCTTCAAATGCACATCACGCGATGATTTCGGGTGGAATTATCAATTCAGTGAGTAGGATAGCGTTGTAACCTAAAGTGCAAATGTTCATTTTTCTCGGCTCCGAGTGCGCGACAAGGGCTTTAAAGCAACAATCCAGGAACGAATTCGCGGGTAAGGACTACCTATAATGACGTTGCAGGTGAGAAGTTGGTCAATGGAGAAAGAAAAAGTAGAAATAAACGTCGGGCAGGGACTCCCCCTGCCGTTTAGGGAGACGTGTGTTGGACGAGTTGTCCGAACCTGCCCGTAGTACATGCGCTCCAATTGCAACTGCTGGCAAATAGCTGCATGCTTGCAAATACATAACTATTTGCCAGCAATCGAAATTGAAGCGCTTCAATTGCGTTCTTATGGAATCGACCTCATACAGCGCGGCGGTCCCGCAACGACCGCTAGTCAAGCACGGACTCTGCACAGCGTATGTTGAGCGATCCGCCTCGGTATGAGTGATCCGCCCCCTCCAAGAGGACTTCGACCACTTCCAGCGCATTTTAGAGGTAGGTTTTGAACTCGCCGTGCACGCCCAGCTGAAAAACGCAAACTAACCTCTTTCCAAAGCCGAAAAAGACCTGTGCATTCCCATTTGTTCCGTTTGTTCTCTGCCTGTTTTTTCTGGTATTATGGTTCCCTCCTTAGAACTGGTCCTCTTCCCAATCCCTCAAGCTAGATAGGCGGAAAGGGCGTACTGCCTCGAAGGCCGACCAGGACAACAATACTTCCCCAGTGCATATGCTGCGAAGTCTATGCGATGCGCGACCCTCAGGGGGAAGTTCCCCTTTTCTAGCCTTCCAAACTTATCATGGAACCTCCTTTGTGAAGATACCCCACGATCAAAGTGATGTGATTCCACCACATGAAATGTGGACAGTATTGGCGCGAACGGACGGATCTGGAGAGAAAGGGAAGAAGCTCGTGGAAAACACTAAAATCAGTTACCACTCATCTCTGTAATATACAATTTAGACAGTGAAGCTGAGGAGCAGAGCTGAATATCGGTCGAGGAAATCCTCGACAGGGTCGTACCTGTGGGCTTGTCCATGATCTCCTTGGG